AAATGTTACTGAGTCAAGGGATGGCTTCAAGCCAATCAAAAAGAGTCGACTGGAGAACGCAGACAGACTGGACACAGTGGACCTGATGGTGCAGATGTACGATACAGAGACTGCAGAGGTGACGAAGAAGATTTTAAAGAAGATCAAAAGGAATGAAGGTCTGCTATTTAGAGGAAATATAAAGCTTGTACATGTTTTTTCAAACAATAATAAAAATGAATCCATTATTGGTTTTCAACAGGACAACCCTTTCCCCAAATTCTGCTGCAGGATAAACCAGCTAATGCCACGGGTATGTGTTCATTATGGTAGTAAATCATTACTACACTAAGACTGATAATATAACTGTAATATATGTAATAAAAAAGGGGGGAGACGAAATAGCTGATTTAATCTAAACCTTTCTCACCTTTCCACAATTCACTAACTTTCATTTGTGTGAAAAGGTAAGAAAGTCTGCCCCAAAAAGGAAGTCTACATCTTCTCTCTATAACTCAGTTTGATATTTAACTGCAAGAAGCTTTCAACTCCAGTCAAACAAATCTTTAGTTAATCTGCTATATGAGGTGGAAAACTTCTCAGTTTCCTAGATTTCTAAAAGTACCGTATTTTTCAGACTATAAAGCACACTTACAATCCTTTAATTTTCTCAAAAATCGACAGTGCGCCTTATGTATGAATTTTTCCTTACTGACCTCGAACCGATTTTATGTGGTACACATAGGGATGAGTATTGTTTAGGTTTTATCCGATACCAAGCCGGTACTTTTGAAACGATGCTGGTGCTTAAACGGTGCTTGAACCGGTGCCTAACTTTGTCCAAAAACCTCTTATGTTTTTATTTTTAGCAGTCTCTTTTTTATGCAAAATAAATAGCCCTTTCTGTTGATACAATATACCTCCTTTGGTTGGAACTGGTGCTTAAACAATGGAAAACACAAACTTTGTCCTAAAATCTCTCATGTTTTGCTTTTTTTTTTTTTTTTTGCAAAAGATAATCATATTAGCTTTCTCTGGAGCTATAC